GTTGAGCATTTTGGTCGTTTGTTAGGTTTCCGGATCGGGCTAACTGGTGTGATCTATAAACTTAAGTCCACTAATTTTGTCTCAAGTGTGGCGATTTTTGAATTCGCTCTTTCTTCGGCGGCTGACACTAGCTTCTCATACTCGTGTGTGATACAAGGAGTACATTTTACAATTAGGATTTCCGCTCATTCTGTGCAGAACCATATACGTTCTGGCTGAGTAGCTAACTGTTTTGCTTATTTTGCCAAGAGTTTGACACATGAAAGGTGTTTCAGGCAGTGTGCATAAAATCCCCCTTTAACTTCTTACAATTCCGTAGGACGCATACCTCGGATGCCGTCGAAACACCTGGTGCGGCACTTGTTGACACTGTGCGACGTCCCATTTTTGCACTTTATCGAAAGGGTGAGACTGATGAAGTATGAAAAGGTCACGTGAAGCGTGAGAAGTTGTCTCGGTCGCCCGCTTGTCCGGATCAGTGGAGGTCACAAGTACACAGAACAATGACAAAGGTCACGTTAGGAATATCGAGCGGCTTTGCTGGCTGCAGTGGAACAATCACAAATGCGACTGCGGGTGGCAGCAGTGATTGCACTGAACAACATAAATATATCCGTAGAATGCTTGAAGTTGAACTTGGAAAGCTCATTCAGGGCTCGTTGGAAAGGTTGTTGAATTTCCTATCGAGCGATATTACAATGTTGACAAAGCGAATAAAAGTGAACAATTTTGCACGCGTGACTAAATCCCAAAGCGTCAATGAAAAAAGAAAAAACGGCTCAATGGAATGATATGAGCAACTTACTTCCAAGGGAAAGATATCGCAAGATAGAGCTCACAGAATTGGATCGAATTAATGTTGACTCGATGATGTACGACGAGATTTCGCAGAAAGATTACGATTAAATCGGGAGCGTAGAATTTGATCGACCGCAGGTAAGGGGAAGTAGCTTCGAATGGGAACATTTCGCGAGTTGCAAGCAAAGGATGACCAGCCGCAACCCTATAGACCCACCCCCGACCGGAACACACATTAGTTATTCTTTTATAATCTTATCAAATCACTAGACAGTTGTCTGATAGGACGATTTAACAAGGCCGACATTGGTACGGCTATGGTCTATGCAACTCACAATTTTTTTTTAAATTTTTCAATACACACTTTCGTGTGATGAACAGCAGACGGGAAAAACCCCATGGTCACTAGGACTTGTTGTTCAGCGATGGAAACCAGTAACTTAATCCCTGGGTTTGGAGTTGCGACCCACATATGGCCCGGATAGGTTGGGTGCGGTATTAGATAGGAAGACAGCAAAGCTGCCTACCACCGATTTGGGGTTGCGGTGGCGGGGTTCAAACCTCGGACCACTGGGTCCAGAGCACACCTATGATAGCGATCAAATCACTGCTCTTCCAGTACTCAATATGTATAAACAAACATAGGATTATGTATTTAAAGTTGTTTATGGAATATTAGAAATCTATTCAAAAATGGTTGATCTCATGAATTCTAGCCGCAATCTGTGTTGGCAGTTTGGCTATACCTCGAAAATAACTTGTCAAGGAACTTACAGATACCTAGAAAACTGGTAGTAACATAGACTAACGGAAAATTGCATAACTGACTCTGAGCTGCATTAACGATTCTATTGTCATCTGGCTGACAGTTACTGGGACATTTTGTAAACACTGTTTAATATCTACCCAAATGTATTCTCCTAAAATGTTTCTGTATGGACTGTAATCGCATGTCACCAGATAGGTTGCGACGGCAAACAATGTTTGCCAAGGCTAGTAGCTATTAGAATAAAACGAAGGGCGGTCAAGCTAAAACCTGGCATGAGGGTATGAAAACCCTAACCAGGAGACTAGGTCACATAGGCCCCGTTAGGTGGATGATGGTCACCGATGGTTAGCTACACTGAGTGATATGGCTGGGTGTCGCAAACAGTGGTCACCGATGGTTAGAGACACTGATTGATATGGCTGGGTGTCGCAAACAGTGGCGCTCGTGCCACCGATGGTTAGCTACACTGAGTGGGTGGGTGGCTGGGTGTCACAAACAGTGGCGTTCGTGCATCCACTCGTTATTTTCCTAACACCACTATATATGTATTCCCCATCTTCCGCTTGAATTTGCTTCGACATTCCAATCTTCACTTCGCTCCTTTATCCAAATGGGCAACCAACGACAGCAACCAAAACCGGCGCACGAAAGTGCATGGTTGATGGTTGTAAAAAACTGAAACTGAATCGCAGACAGAAGTGCTGAGAAGTCAACTCCATCATTATGTCATTTTGATGTTCCTGACTAAACGATTTTTTCACTTTAATTATGGCATCATATTAGTATTAATTTAGGCAGATCAACGGAGTTGATGTAATTCCAAAAGCGCGGGATACGAGAGCTTGTCCTATGGCTTCACAACGTTATCAATGTTTTTCGCTCATGCTAAACAATAGTTGTCTAGTACACATGACAATCGGATGGGAATTATAAAGTTCCAAACTCCCATACACGAGAAAACACAGCTTTACCTTACCAACTTCCGGATATTATAATGATAGAAATTGCTTTGCAAACTTTCTCTTTTGTCTTCAGTATAACTTCTTCACTTCTGTCATATTTTTTTCTGGTAGTGAAAGCTCTACATTATATAAAAAAGACCATTCGTGTAAATGAAAAACGAAATTTCGCAATCCAGTTACATGTGTCATTATTTCGAATTCCGGTTTGTTTCGATGAATGGCCGACACAGACAAACAATATGGTCCATTATCGTTCTCCAGGTATTACCATCACAATGACCAATGGAAATATGTATACCTGAACAAACTTTATGTTCCAATTGACAGCAAACCAGGCAAAACATCTGTCAGTCAGCATGGTAGTGCTTAGAGGATCGCGGGGAGGAACTGGCTTTGTTCTTTGTGACCTAACGAGCATTTCACATAAGGTGCCTTTGGCTTTTTTGCCACAATGTAGCTCAGAATTAAACATAGTGATACTATTTTATACAATCTATATATAGTATCTAGTATTAGAGTCATGCAATATTAATATAAAACTATAATTTACTCATAAGAATGCTTCAGTATAGTTGATTTATTTAGTCTGAACAAAACCATCTAAGAACTTTCAATCATTTTCCGGTATATTATTCATGGGTGTTTGTACTTCAAATGATAGTTTTACTTAAACCCGGTTTGTTCTGCCTACATCTTGTTGTCGTTTGGTTAGCGCAAAAATATGCATGCTGAACATTTTTCGGCGAAAAAATCAAAAATTAATTCGGAAGGACGGTTTAAAAACTCCAAAATTTGTTTCTTAAGAAATATCCACTCATTGGAATCTTTCAATAATGGGTTTTCTGCAAAGATGGTTGTGCTTAAACTACTCAATCTGGAAAGTTCCGGCGTTTTATTTAAGCTTAAAGCAGTCAATTTATGTGCCCTTATTCGTTTTAAACACTAATTTTACAGTCACTGAGCATACAAATGATATCCACATATAACACCTGTATCACTCACACGATACCAATAAATTCCCGGTGGTAACTGTCTATTGGAGTGAAGAAGATTCCACGGCGTTCCTACAAAGCAACCATCGATGCAGTTTTACACATTATAAATCTCGCATACCTTCAAATTGTAGCCGATGTAATGAGCACGACAGATCTGGAAGAAAACAGCGTATTGCAGCAACGCGAGGTTCGCGTGCCACAATCGGGTACTGAGCACAGCATGTCGAGCAGTGGGCTGTGTTAATGCACACGAAAGGGAGCAAAGAGAAAAAAGAATGAAGTAGTTACTGTAGTTTGATGGCAACAATCGAAACTACAATCATTTCGCAATATTGTCAATAATATCCGATAACATCGACACGGTAACTTGGAAACCACCAGCTCCTTGGTTTACGGTACACTGTGTGCTCAACGAACTGCAGAAATCAATCAACAAAGACTGCTAGCGGTAATGAGGATAAGAATCGTAAAACCGTGGCATTAAAAGGGAATATCACATTTATTATTATTAATACTATTGATTAAGTAGAGTATACATTTTTTCTTTTGAATCACAAAAGCACGATGTTCAGTCAATTGTAACTGTATCCACGAAAACAGCAGTGCGACCGTTGTTCACAGCTACCGGGCAATTGCACAATATTTTAATTTTTCAACCGGGGATTGGAAATTGTATTACGCAAAAGGCAAACAACACGCTTTTCACCAGCAGTCAAGACAAATATGTCCAAACAATTGATAGGAGCTAATTTTGCTTCAATGGCGGCTTCTAATATGCCAAATATGTTGTGTGACTTTTGTGCAATGAGGGTATTCCTCTGCTACTTCTGGTTCTTGTCACATTGTCAAATAATTATTACACTTAATAATAAGTAAAACAAATGTAGAAACTTCCTGCAGTGTGTTACAACGAAAAGTAGAATAACAACTGGAGTCTGATTTACAGAGCATTCATCACGGGAAATGTATCTCACGGGACAAGTAATGACAAGGTATGAAGAACACCTTATACGTTTCACTAGTTATCATGCTCTTTGTGTAACTAAAGTAGGATATTTCAAGGAAGCTCTCTTTTTGAAACGTTTTATCCAACTACAGCTTTCAAGAAAACTTACCCAAACGCACATCAGCAGCTGAAAGATTTCCCTGTCAAATGAAATCAACTGTGGTACAGTATCGCAAAGAGTACAACCGACGACTAAAGCAGAAAATGTCATTTTGGCATACCTACGTCATCGTCAGATCAGACTCCGAATAAAATTGCTTGTAGCCTCGAATATTCTAGGAGCACAATTGCCTGCTGGAGGCAAACGAATGAGACAAATGAGTACACACAGAAATTATATTTAGTAGCAGTTTGTAGACGCAAAATGTGCCTCAGGGAGGACTGCATCTTCCATTTAGATCCACCGGTCATTTTCGTTGTGTTTTCGCATCCGAATAGCACTTGCGAAAGATTCGTAAAGTAAAACATATCTAGAAGTAAATAAACAGAATAATCTGAGCTACGAAAACATTCTTGATACCTTCAATGCGTACCAGTTTCATTTCGTTGACCTCGTTCGAATCGCACGGAGCCTCGGCAAGTAGCTGATGCATTCCGGTATCCGATCTGACCCAGAATGTCCCAGCAGTAGNGTAGCAAACAGCACCAACTGTATCATGGCCAGTCCATCCGCGTAACCCGGTCGAATACCAGTGACCCAGAGCATTTGTTCGTTCTGAAGCATGGTGAGTAATGCATATCAAATGATAACAGTGTGTTCACAATAAATAACGTCACACATGATCTGGATAACAAAAACATTTAGACAAGTATTTGTTTTCGTTTTATTACATTGCTCTCCACAACGAGGGAAGGAACCAAGGAGTATTCTCAATGCACATATATAACACCATTACGAAGATACGCAACGAGGTTCTATTATCAATAGACAGAAAGTTACGCAAATATAAATTGTTATTTATCAACCGGTTACCCAAAAACAACAAATGAAATTCTGGGAAAGAAAAAGCGATGAAGCATCAATAAAGCCACTTTATATATTCCAACAAAGAACCGTATCCTTATGTTATATAATTATTCAACGGCAGATACAAATCAGTTTGCTTTACCGTAATCAAGTCAATTCTGGTATATGTCGTGTTGGACAAATATGCGTTGAATTTCTTGACTATCAATTCAACAAAGAAATGTATGCATGATACACTGCAATCATTCGTACCGTTAACTTTCAAAATAACTCTAGGTCCAAAAGCCCTGTTCAACACATCATGATTTAACACCCAGAATGACTCACCGTCTCTGGATGGATGAAGGTGACCAAATCGACCTTGACGTGACCAAAAACCATTTTGTCCTTCAAATAGTTCAATAATTTTTCGCAAACGGAATTTATCCAAACGGGTTCGACCGACGACGCTGGAACTGAATAAACGGTATTAGACAAATAATTTCTGGACCACTGGGAGCGGGAGTAAAGTCAAAAAGTTTTTTTCTTCAATATGGAAAAACTATCAAGTCCCACATTATCAGGATTATCCATCTTTATTTCGTCGGAATTGTTTACGCAAACCCCCTCAACTTGCAATTATTGTTGGCAATAACCGATCTCATTCACTAAGATATTGTTTAAAAGTCAACTGCGATAGTTTAAAATCCACTTGCACTGAAATGACTGCATAATGACTATTTGCCCTTCATTTGTTAAAAATCCGTCTTTGCCTCATTCACCTAGTACTAAATTACTGCATACATCAACATAATGAAGCTGGGAAAGGTAAAAAAATCACGCCATCTGTCCATGGAATAGACTAGAAATGGCGCATATCAATCCCTTCCTTCATTTCGACAGAAGGATCTCGTTTCTTCTCAAGCCAGCAAAAACTGTTTTCTTATTTTTCAAATCGATTCTTACATTTTTAAAATTCACCAAAATCCCCGAAAATTCTGTTTTAGCCAAACATATTAAAGCCACTGAATCAAAACCCCAACTAGAAACAAAATCGAATGAAGAAAAAAACTGTGACATTTGTATGGCATACAGATTCATCTATATGAGCTCTTTTGCTGTGTACGGCAAATGAGGATTAAAATGGTTTAGTACTAAAATATCTACAGTCATTTGTTATAACTCTAAAAGCATTTGTTGATTTTCCTCAAGACCAAATCTGATGAGCTTATTTCGCGTGGTTCTGTTGTTCCAAACGAAAAGTTTTGCAAAATCCTCAGTCGCATGTAGGCTAACATTCAGCTTTCATCGATACGATTTTTCCTTTGTTTCACACAACTCTTTCTGTTTCGTTTGAAAAATGAAATTGGAAATACTTGCGCCAAAACGGTACACGTGATTGATGAATGCAGTTCAGGCGAGTATGTTCTAACTTCCAGATGCTTTCAACTTGTTTCTTTCTAGCTACAAATAAAAATCGCAGATCTGTTTGAAAGCTTTTCTCCAAATGCAATTCCTGGGAATTCTCTATGTCACTGCGAACCCCGGTTATTTTTAATTATTTCATAATGTGAACAATATATGAAAACCAGTTTGACATTTCCTACTGGGGTTATACTTAGACGTGATATGACGGGGAATAGCAACATACCTGTAGCACCCCAAGCGGAAAAGTCATTCCCACAGTGCACCTGATCTGCGCTCCCTAGCACTCGTTTTTGTCCGTTCGGCATGATTGCCATGTACACTGTGATATTTGTCCAATGATCTGCCGGTGGACATGCCTCAATTACTCCACCTGTTCAAAAAACAAATAGCTGTCAGTTGGGGAGTGGACAGTTCAGGGGGATGACGAATTTTGCATTCTAGATGAATTCAAGCGTCAATTCATGACTAGGACAGTATGGTCTTTTGAACTACAGACTAGCTGTTTTCTGTAATATCATTATACTTTAGGATCAATATTGACCATGGATTGGGTATTTCACCAAGCACAGAACTGTATTTCAGCAAATAGAACAAACAGTATCAAGAGTCTTTTTTATGAAGAAGTTCGGTGAGGTACGAAAACGTGGCATCATGGTCACCATATGGCTAAATAAAGTGAGAGGGAATAAATTAATCACTGACAAACTCACACTATAAACTAGGTGATGATGGATGAAGTGAGCAAGCTTTGTCTTGTTCTGAAGGCAGAACTAAAACGTGACTCTCGATGATCAAAATAGAGCAGAAAATCCAGCTTTGCATACATAACTTTCGCCGGAGATAAAACTGCTCCGGGTTAGGGAATAAGCCTCTTCAGCATTACTGCAGCTACCAAATAACGAGCCTTTTGTTCCTTATAGACCCAAAGTTGACCAGAAGTGTGTGGGTACAAAAACCGTGTTATATCAGCATGAGTCAATGATTTCAAAGGCGGATGAGTTGCACCCTCCTTTTCGATCAAGGGACGTAGTCATCATTGTTCAACGACATGTATGGAGTTATTCTATCAGATTGTAATCACGCCTGGTTGTTAGGAATAGTATTTTTATATGAGTGGACGTTAAATTTCGGTTATGATTGAGATGAAACTTATCACACGGGAGTTCGCGTAGTCGTTGAACATCACCTTATGGAAAAGTAAAACAACCATTGGTTTGCTCCAGAATGTTTTGCAGTAGAACAGTAAAAAATGTCTCGAGAGAATGAAAACAAACCAAACCACCTACCAGTACCATTCAAAAATGTTAACTTTCACAAAAAACGAAATATATGCTCAAACAAGGCATTTTTTGCAGGATCGACAAACCCCTTGATAGGGCAAACGAGACCAAAATTAGGGTAACTCAGTCGTGAAAACGCATCAAGCCACGCAGACTTGAAACGGTAAATGTTTGCTCAGTTAATCAGATAAAAATAATTCTGTATTTATAGCTTCAGAAATTTCCTTTTATAGTTTGATTAATAGTGGTCGTCTGTACGATCACCCTACTGGCAGTTACTACCTAAGCTTCATGCAGACTGGGGTTACAGATTCGACAGTTGTGCACGAAAAGTGCATACACAGGGATGGAATTATCGCAGAAACAGATGAGTGTTAGAAATTCATCACTTATCCGCAGTCGCTTATCTTGTGTGTGCGTGTGTGTGCACACGCCAGCTTTTGTGGGACCTCACGAGGTCGAAAAGGATAGCCGTTTACCTAATTCAAGTGAACAAAACAAAATGTCGAAAGATCGATCACCGCTTTTGCTTATGTGTATGCATGTTAAAGAAAACAAAAAATGTTGTCGATCCAAACCAGGGAATAAAGTGAACAAACATTGACGTCAGCTCGGGTAACAATAATCCAAATTCGAACGGGGTTATCAGATTTGAAGTGCAATAAAGAAAAACCATGATTCAATGGTTTACTGTTTTCTGTTTAATTCATTGTTTTCTCTGTTTTTCTACTTCAGCGGTCAAATGTTTTGTAGTTCTATATTTGAATAGGCGATTTTTCGGGAGAACTACAATCATTTAACTAATAGATTTGACTATGGCCAATAAGGGTATTCCAAAGAAACCTTAATCGTAGGCTTGAAAGTGCTGGACTCTTTTGTGTTGGTGATGGAAATGGATCAAATAGAAGCTACTACAAATCAAATACTAATGAATTGAAACGCAGTTTCATGAACCAAGTTCAATGCAATCCAGCTCAACTGTTTTCAGTTTAGAATCAGAAATAGAATACCATCCTGAGTGATTAGCAGAATAATGAGTTCAGCTGTAATATATCGATCCAAAACAATACAACTATCATTTTTGGCATTTATAACAAATTGTAAAGGTGCTGTGTTGTGGAAAAAATGATGCGAAGTTAAAGTGGGAAGAAGAAAATTTAGCAATTGATAACTATTGTTTTCACTAGTGTTGCGCAGTTAACTAAGATGGCAAAAATACTCCTGCTTGTGGGAGCATCAACGCGCCTTCGGCGTACATCCTCATTTATCAACAGAAATACTAATTTGTGATAGTAAATAATCATGACATAACATTTGATATGAAAGCAATTTCCAGATTATAATCCGAAATGAATCATACAAGCTCGAAATTTGGTCGATTGGCAGGTTGGGCCTGATTCAAATGAAACCCATAACGGTTCAGTGTGTTTCTGGTCTGTCTTAACTGAACAGCATAACGCTTCAAAATGTACTTAATTATAATTTCGGGATCACAGATAAATGACTAATATATGTCATAGTATACAGAAGAAGAACAGGGGCTAAAAGACTATATCAGAGCTGAAAGCTCAACATATTCTTCTCAACGACAACAAATAAATACACCTTATTTCCGAATAAGATCGCGTTTTTACCATATCTCCGTATGTACAATACGTAATCAGGAGTGCACTAATTTATGCATTTGAGTGATTTTAAGTGAAAAGAAAATGCTGAATACTATGGTATTGAAACCAATTGAGAACAGACGTTGAAGTCCTTTGGTATGGCGATATTTTATAACACCATTTACGTTGGACTTCAAAGTAACTAACAGTCACTGGTTCTTTGAAGTAAATATAATAAATCGTGGTACAACAAAAGATTGCAGATATTTTTTTCTTACATATCCACTGTCTATCACATTTTACATGAATAAACCTTGGTCAACTACATAAATAATCACTTACCAGTTTCGATAAAGGCTTGTAAAAATGACTTTGTATTCGGATAGATTTTTGTTGATGTCAGTTGCATTGTTTGTTCCAACCATTCAGGTATCTCCGACAAAATTCGAAGATAAGAGGCCTCCTTGAAAATGTCAAGCACAAACGAAACCCCAAATTTTTTTTCACTGAATAAGACATACATCAGTAATGACAACTAAAATAAAAAACTGTGCTTTTTCGATGATTACTTGAATGGGGAGAAAACAATAATGAAACAAATGTCTCATTTAGCACATGACAACAAGTGGAAAATGTTGGTTTCTTTCTGTTGGCATCCCGCCTTTCTCAAACTTTTTATCAAGACATTGGAATTCTGAATGACTGTGCGTTATGTGACCAATTGTAGCGTACGATGAACTCCGTAGATGGTACATTTAAAAAGTGATATTGTATTGAATGCATGACTCAAATGCACACAAGAACTACCTGACTAAATTCAACGTCTGGGTTTATATATGTCGAGTTCATTTCGTTATTAACGTACTCCTTAACTTCTGTTTTTTTTCATACTCCGGCGCTCAAAATGGTACCTCACAGCTACGATACACAACAAATAGGATATACAAATTATACTGTCTATCTATCTTCTAAACACCCAACATCACTCCATGAATGACAAATTCCTTCATACTGTTATAATAACTCAGTCACGCTGACGCTCATTTGTTTGCCACTGATAAGATCATTGTAAGAATTTATCGCCTTTATATAATCGTATATGTATATTCGAATTGCAACCATATTTAAATTTTGAACGATTAGTAAATTGGACATTGGTTCTGTGCTTGTTAGGATTACTCGGTTATCTGTATCACCCCATTTTGGTTGACGCTATGAATTCGAATGCACTGCTAGCGAGTTGCAATGAGCATGGGACAGATGCTTGATGTTGTTTGTTGATCAACATCACAAATAAATGTGATGTTGATCAACAAACAACATACCATCGAACTGAACATGCTCAACCACATGAGTGAGATACAAACAAAAGCATAGTGAAGAAATCCCAGCATTCTGGTGTGTTTGTATGAACAATACAATCAAACTGCTGGTATATGAATATATATGATTGAAATTATTTTAATGATTGAGTTGAAGCATGATCTCTCTGACTGCTTCTTTCATGCATAAAACCATTTCCGTCCTGCACTCTGTGACGAACAGCCAGTTGGAACAGGGCATTCCATAACTTTACTCAATTCTATTTAAAAACTCAGACTGCTTATCCGGAAAAGCGATTTTTCGATCAAAGTAATACTGCCTAGTTCCATTTGTTGGAAAGCATGCCTGTTGGCCTTCGTAGGATGATAGAAAACCAATATGTGCGGGACAGTTTAAAACGTTATGCTATGCATGCGATGTACGAAGCAATGCTATAGATGTACTTTAGAAAATCTGTTAATCAATGAACGTTTTTATCTGAGAACATCCAATGGCTCATTTTCGGATAAATCACCAAGTTTATGTAATTTCTCACTTTGTTCTATTCCAGGAAATTTAGATATATGACACGATGTCATTTATTCTGACTTCCTTACTACACGTGCATTGCCATTCCATTTGTTTCAGTTTACAAACACATTATCCACTACAGACAATTGGAAGTAGCCTATGTGCCTCAGATAATCAGTCTTGGGATGATAACGTTGGGGGTATATTTATTGTCAATCGAATTCATGTCGTTATCTTTCTCACACAGAAAACAATTTAAATGTGAACAAGCAAATCAGAAAACCAATTCTGTGAGGTAAGTTCCTTTTGTATATCTCATCAAACGCATCGGTGCAAAATATACAACCACGCAAAACAAAATAAAACCACCAGATATCTCGATTCATTTCACGTTTCTGAAAGTAATTTCTCTCTGTTTACATTTAGCATGGGATCTACATGTTTCCAAAGTGCAATTGATCTCATTTGTTGGGCAATAAATAAGCAAACAAAACGATACATAGCCCTGTTTTGACCGCTTGATGCAAGTTAATCAACTAAAATGAACAATTCAATCAGATCCCTGATGGGAACCGACAATGCTGTGAGTTCATCTATGCGTTACGTGGAGCGCATTAAATAGTCTGTGGGAATAGAACAGTTGCACAGAACATCTGCTGTGATAAAATCGTCAATCGGTTATTTGTCTGCGATCAAATAGAGATAACCCTCAAACCAGGCCATTTGCACAAGCACATCTGAAATATAGTTATAGACAAATCCGAGCTCCAGTGTCTTTTCAAGTTATACAACAATATCAACAGCTTTCCTGATTTTACCGAATCTATAAATCACGATAGCATTTGCAAGATGTAAACAAACAAGCACTAGTGTTTTTGCTTCCGCGAACACTTGACAAAGTTTGAAGAATACAATATGCCTGGAAAAACATACCTGGGCCCACTTTTTGGCCCACTTTGTCGGCCCATACCACTGACGTTGTTCATTGGCCCATGAAAATGAACGCAACTGTTCAACACATAACTTTGCGGTCCCGTGCCCTTCAAGGGCATTATCGATTTTCAGCAACCAATATTTGGTTGGTAAATGCGCTGTGATCAACTCGGCCAAAGACTCATGTAGCTGAAAGAAAGGAGAAGAAAAGGAAAAGACTTATTAGGCGGTAATCTGAAACGTTAGTATAATTATCACAGATTCCCAGTAAGATAACTACAATTCATCGGTCTGTCTTCATTGTTTCCATTGATTACATTTTTAAAAATGAGAGCTTTATTGAAAAATAGGTATCCAGAAGTTAACCAAAGTGAGTTGCTAACTGTGCAGTAAACGAACAAAGGGTTGAGACCCTGAGTAGACAAAAATAATACTGAGCGAATTTTCGGTTATTCAGTAACGAGTAAAAAAGCAGTGAACAAACAGAGCACCTAAGCTCTTCTAGACATTACTGTGGCACTTTTAAAGAGGTTCCATCTTCATTCTAGCTAGGCCTCAGAAAGGTGGATAGTCACTGAATAAAGACGTTGAGGGACATCGCACCATACTTATGTAATCTCCGAGAATTGGCAGAAGATTCCTTGCAGCGTTTGGTTCACCAACTGACAGTTATGGCGCGAAGGAAATAACAGAGGGCCTCCGGAACTACGTCTCAGACCCTTCCTAAATACCGGGCTCCAAACACATTCATATCCCGAGAAACCTACTAATACATCGGATCACTCAATGCAAGTACCAAATTCCGTCCCACAACCGGGGGTCTAAAGTACCACAGCTTCTCTGTCAAAAAACTAATGTTAGTTGACCGAGAAGGGGTCGGCCAAGATACCACTTTTAATCCAATCGGATTTCTACATCGGCATTATTTAAACAGATGCTACATCAATGCTCAAGAACTCCTCAGCAAATTTCAGAGCTGAATTTTCGTTTCATATCAGGTCAGTGGGATATTATTGCCGTTACAGAAACGTGGCTTGCAGCTGATATTTCACACTCCAAACTGTCCTTACCAGAAATGTCTCTGCTCAGATGCAATCGTCCTTCCCGTGGTGGTGGTGTTCTACTCTACTATCGAAACAATCTTCATTGCGAGCAAATCCACCCCCCAGTTTCGACTTCTGACACTCTGTGGTGTAGACGGAGATTGTTTAAACACGATGACTGTTTGATTGGTGTCATCTATCGCCCTCTGTTAGCCACAGAATCAGCCAATATGACTCTTTTGAACACTATGTTGAACATTCTCGTTAAAGCATTTACACATGTTCTGCTAATGGGCGATTTCAACTGTCCCAACCTGGGTGAATCAATGTCCTCCCACCCTTATTCCAACAACAATTTATAAAGCTTATAGCCTCACAACCACTGTACAATCACCTGAGAGAGCATACCATATTTGGAAACTTGCAATTACCATCCATTCTAGATTTAGTGTTGACAAACGAAAAGCTGATGATAGAATCCGTCGCAGTAACGACCCCTCTGGGACGAATTGCCACGCTGTACCGTTGTTCAAAGTAATTAACCCAAACAACATTCGCAATTTCACAAACTATGCAAGGTTGCAGACATTGGCTCATTCCATTCAATGGATAACTCATAGGGAAGAGCACAACCCTTTAGTTGCGTGGCAGGAATTTACTGACAGTCTGCAACAACTACGGGTAAACGTTGTTACCAAACACAGCTGCCGGAAATCACCTATTCAAAGCCGTACGAAGAAATGGATATTTCTGAGGGACCTCTCGTGAAGAAAGTACAAGCGACTTCCAAATGGAACAATAACCCCATTTACAAAGGCGGTTGTCGTAGCAATCCCGCTGACTACCGCCGTGTAACCCTCCTTTGAGTGCTGTCCAAAGTCATGGAGTCTATGGTAGCAGATTCCCTGATGGAGCACCTAGAGAAGCACAAAGTTTTATCACCGGATCAATATGGATTCCGATCCTACGCTACCAATTTGCTGATCGCATGAGAACAATCGACAAAAGCAGTTGATGAGGACGACACAGTAGACGTTATTTTTCTAGACTTCTCAAAGGGGTTCGGTCGGGTGAAACACGATATTCTACTGCGGAAACTCTTTAATCACGGTATTTGGGGCCTCATACTTGGTTGGATCGAAGCATTGCTCCGACATCAGACCGTATCGGTTCGCGCTTCTGATTCGCTTTCCAGTCCCATGGACGTTACCCATGGGGTTCCACAAGGATCAGTGTTTGGCCAGCCAATTTCCCTAACATTCATAAACAACCTACCGATGGCCCTAGGGCCAAAATCATTACTTTTTGCAGATGACGCCAAAATTTGGAATACAGTTACGCAACCGACAGCACTCCAGGAGACGTTGAAAGCAGCTCATCTGTGGTCCATTATGAACGATATTGAATTCAACGTGCCAAAGTTTAAGGTTTTATCTATACGACTCAGGGGCGATTTTCGTATTTCCTCGGAAATGAAGAACTGCCACACTCCTCAAATGAGAAGGACTTGGGCATCATCATCCAAGAAAACTTAAGCTGCTCACTCAAATGCATCAAGGTGTCCAACGCAGTTGTAGAGAATGTCGGTTTGCCTAAGGGTGTCTTTGGCCGGTTTGAGTCAGCGCTTTTCTCCCGTATACTATCACCATACATTCACCCACTCACAGAGTATGCTATCCAGGCATGAAATCCATGGCTATAACGTGGTTGCAAAGTGCTTGAGCATCCACAAAGGATGGCCACCAAAATGATCAGGGGGTTGAGTCGGTGTTCATACGTAGAGAGATTGAAGTCACTGAGGTTATATTCCAATAACTGCCGGCGCATCAGAGGAGATATGACTATGTTTACCAAATAATGCAAATTCCAAGCCATCCATGTGGCCCGCTTCCGACATTACCACCCAACGTTCGTCTTAGAGGACATCCATTCAAACTAGCTGTGGCTTCTTTGCAAACAAACATTCAAGTATAAATGACAGAAACCGTCAACATGCACAAAAAGTAAAATATAAGACATTTGCATTGTCATCTGTTCTTATTCACCATGATATTTCAATAATTATATTTCTTTGGGTAAAATATTGGTAAACTGAACCCTTTTGGGGCTGTTGTATGGAACAATAATATATTTGGCAAGGAGGTTCCATCAGGACACCAGTCTTTTTCTGATTTAGAATTAGACCATCCAGAATACGTAACTTACATGTTCCAGAGTATACACATTGCAATCACCAGGTGGCTGTGAAATACTTTGTTTTACTGTACCCGTTTCTCCTTTTGTTCCAGCACTCCCTGACCCAAAACCTCGAGCGCTATCAAGAACTTTTCTTCGCAAATCCTTCGCATTGCTTCGTTGCCTCCAAGTTGAACTCAAAAGAGACACACTGGATCCAACGACTCTAGTCTTCCTTCCGTCGTCCTCTATATCATCTAGGCTATCGTTCTCCTCAATTTGTGCAACTATTCGTCTCGCAGTTGATTGCAGGGATAAAAGACGCGTAATACTAGGCTTGGAAGTCCATACTGGAATTTGCAGTTCATGGGCAACCGCAAAGTCATCCGGATGACTTTCCTGGCCGGGAACAAGTAAGGCCGGTCGCCCGGCAATGAATTTCTTGATGTGATCGAGGGCCCGAGGACTGTACTTCAACAGACTTGACAGACAAAGCGGTGGTGCTGTTGAATACTGTTTTAAAATGAGAATAAGAGAAGACAGCAATCGTGTCCAATTTGAGCGTACAATAATTAAACATAATAGTTTCATTATTAATCCATAAAAAAGTAATTAGAAAGCAAACGCATCTCATAAGATTAGAGTAATTATAAGTCAAAGCTGAATTTCAGGGGTGGGAAAACGGATGGAAATTCAATTATCTACCTATTTCACTGTGTTACTAACATTATAACACTCCCAATAGAACAACATACGGCGCATCAATTTTTCGATACACAATGCGCAGGTAAACAAGGAGCTGTGCCCAACCCTGGTTAAGGCTACTAAATGGACAACTGTTTCAATAATCAGTAGACAGTGTTCAAGCTGCTGTTTATTTTCCACAAGTTCCATCATTGCTTTGTCTTCAAAAGAAAATCAGAGGAAGTTATTATCGCTCGGACTGAAAACTTTAGGAAACTATGAGTAAGATACTAGGTATCCGATTTTGAGTAATCAGTTGTTTGTTAAAGCGACTGAGTACACTCAGCATTGGTGTCTTTGGTAGTATTACTGTAAGACCTATGACCAAACGACGGTCAAAAGCGGCATGTTGACATATTTTGCATGTCCGACCGAGTCGCACCTATACACTTTAGTGACCATGTTACGTTAAACTGATACTCACCGTTCGAGCAGACTTTGATGATGTAAACTCGACGTGATCAAAAAACAGTTTATTATTGTGTATCTATTAAAACTAAACCAATTAGGCACATATGGTGTTGAATTAGTTCTACATGAAACGTCTGACACTCAGAAAACGTCATGTTCTACTGATTACCAAATAATTGATATGGAGATCAGGGAGCTTAAATCTCATCACTGCCGTAATATTGTTTCTAAACTGTAATTGTACATATTTTTTTGGATCAAATTGCGCCTATTACTAAAACTTGAATTCATTTAGCTTTTTCAGAATGTTCTGTCGATTATTCAGGTGGAATAAGAATGATAGGTAATCTCTGACTTCGAAAATTAATTAATGCAAATTGAAACAAGGGGATGTTCATCTACAACAATGTGTTCAGCTTATTACGGGCTATTCCACAACTGCCAGAGAAGATTGCAATATGTAGGAAAACAAGTAGGAAATAAAGAGGCGCCACTTGAATCATTTTGGGTTGCCTCTTTCAGAAAACGCAATTGGTTCTTTTTGGAAGCGCACACTTTAGACTACAGGGTATTGTTTCATAGTGAAAAAATGAAAAAATGGGTCACACTTGGATTCTAACACCTATTTATGAGTTAGCTCATTCCACCGGGTATACGAAAACCTTTCTTCAACATAAGAAGATATATATGGACAGAGTGGATGCTGACCATCAATTTTGCTTGCTCTCATTCAAATGTAAGCGAGTTAACTAGTGAGATTCCTATCAGACAGTTAGTTATATGGCGGCTGCAAGTGATTTATGAATAAGCGAAGTGATTTCGTAGGGCTATTTTCAGAGACTCGGTCACATAAGTTTCGTCAGGCTCCCTGGATGGGGACCCCAAGATCATGATCACCGACGGCTAGAGACACTGAGCCGTATCGCCGGATTTCGCAAACAGTGGCGTTTATGCATCTACCCATTATTCTTGCACCCTCAGTCTATGTGAATTCTTCATCTTCCGCCTGAATTTCCTCTCAACATTCTAAACTTCATTCTGCTCTTTTATCCAAATGGACGGCCAAAAGACAGCAACCAAAACAGGTGCACAAAATTGCATGAATAATAGTTGTCAAATTTAAAACTGTTCAGTGTTGTCTCAGTGCAGAAATATATGAATAGCAACTTACTTGAAAATATTCCACCGCTTCCGGCACTAGAATACGATATCGGTGCTCAATGGGTTCTTGATCTTTTGCACAACCTGTTTGAATAGCGTTTTTGAGGCCTAGCAACTTTCGATAGTATTCCAGTATATCATCCGAGATTGACGATCGGGAAATGTAAATGACATCTGTATTTTCATCTAAAATATTTCACAATGGTCAACAAATATGATGTAATTGATCAATAATCTATCAGGTAGTCATTTCTTACATCTATCGTCCATTTAAATGAAACAATACAGACATAAATTGTGTTTCGAGTTTCCAAACGGTTCATCTGTTTATATTGATTTTTTTATCTGATACACAAAATCCACCATGATGAATTTCTTTTGTGATTTTCAATAATTTTGGCGTATAACACCCGTTTCCAATAGCTTACTTAGTTTCGTAACTGAGAAATTTGCATAAATGAGCACAATCTCATATAACTGTTTGTTGCTAGATTCTTTGTGTAGGGGAATGGTTTCATAATTCGTTGTTTGTCTTGTTATATTTGTCAATACCAATCATTTATTTGGTTAATCAGTTCCCTTTCAGATCTGTTGATGTCCCATTTTGTTAAAACATTAGCTAGTTGGCTAGTTTCCTGTTGACTCATTTGTCTGGATATTTGATTGTATATATTTTCTAGGAAGTTTTCGTTTGTCATTTGAAGGTTGGTTGATCAAGTGAATGACTTGTGAGTTGATTACTTTTTGGATTACTGAGTTGTATGCCTCATGGTTTATCGCCATGTTCAACAGGGTGACATAGGTTGAACGTTCAGACAGTTTTCATATTAATTCAGAGAAGACAATCATGCTTCGTTCACCACGGGTGCGCTGAAGATAATCTCCAGTGCTGTTAGGGACTTATTGTGAATAAAGGGTATCCGGCGCATGAATGTGACTGAAAACTGTGTTCGCCCGATTACCCCTTACTCCATGGATGCGTATTCATCGACACCAGACAGAAGCAGTTGTAGCAGCGGCGATCTATCTTTTTAACCAATAACTTTGTTCTCCAAGTATTTTCTGGGTATCTCAACTGTCTTGGATCTGGCGTGATGCCAATCTCATGGGGTAACTTTTTCCGTCACTCCATAGCGTAAACGGAATACGGTTAACCAAGACGACCTATTATCTTTTACAAAGATAATGTGATCATTCTGCTCTTCAATTGAATCACACACATCTTTTTCAATATGCAAACAGGACATCTAGTCATATTCGGTAGAGAATCAACTTATCCAAACCTAGACCTTGCGCTATTTCTTGTTTCTTTGTTCTCCAGCTTGATCCGAAATTCGAGAAAAACATCTTTTGAATGGAACAATCAAATACTCATTTTTTCATAACTTCTAATCTCAATCAGTTACTGAAGAAAAATTATTATTACTTAAGCAACCTCTCGAGTATGAATACTGTCTACATTCGTCGAAGAAGGACAAATATCCCATCATACTGTTAAATTATATGGGATCCATTGTTTGTTAACTTTCACAGAGCGCAATGCTCTTATAATCATTTTATGAAAAAGTCTATGTGAGCTTATAGGAATTACTTCTGTTCATACCAAAACACGTAAATAGCAAACTATTGAAATTTTATCACACCAGGCGGAGATACGAGTGAAGAAGCCCCTGGAGGAGACGGAAATGGAAGTTAAGGTTTGCCCATCTACTCTGGTATATGGTATTTGTGTAGCACGAGCGAAATCAGTCTCGTTTTGAAAGGTGGTGTGGACGACGCCAAAATCTGTTACTGTACGCATGTGAAATCTAGCCGGCTTGTCCCCAAGAAGAATAACGCTGGCTTTTAAGTATTAATCACTTGATCGGAGCAAGAGGAGAGAAATGATGAAAAGCGCCATCCACCTGTTTAGCTTTAGAAGCCCTCCTCCTCCCCCCTCTAGATTAAATAGTTATCTCGCTACTCTGTTTATGATATCTTCTCATATATGAGCTAAAAATGCTTGTCAAACGGTTGCTTACAATCGTTTTATTCAAGCTCGCTGGGCATGCTTGTGGGGATAGTGTGTGATGTCACTAAATTGACAGTAATTCTGTCGTATCAAGGCCCATTAGGATAGCCCAATTCCGATTTGCATACATTTTTTCAATCATTTTTTCAACCTTATGTGTTGGTTGTGGTTACTGCACACTCAAACAAAATATTTGAAAAGACCTCCAATGTTATCAAGTGAAAATGCTGATTTTGGTAACTACATAAGGCTTCCGTTCTTCAACCTCCTAACACCTATAGTTTTTCTCTAGTTCTTAGTTCTATGTAATTATTTGTTTCGCACATGGTGAAATCAGGCCAATGATAAAATAGAATCACAGTAGCAATAACAATAGTATCACGTTGAGTCTGTAAGAATGGCAAGTCGTCGATCATATCATTTGATCAATTTCTTCAGACTTTCTACAAATCTAAACCGTTCCAAACCACCACATACAACGCATCCCTATTCTAAATGACGAAAGATAATCTGACTTCGAAGTCTTTTTCAGATGATTTGCAAACTTTGATCTCATAATATTCGTTTCGTTTACTTGCAGATGCACACAGACAACAATTAATGATGGCTTCTCTTAAGGCCAAAATTCATGGTGTTGATGAAGGTTTGTACAAGTGTGAGCACTCTTTTTCACGTGGTTCCGTTCGTTCCATTGTGTTAAATATTCAAAGACTCTTGCACTCTCTACTTTTCCAGCGTTTCTCGTTAGACAATGATTTTCTTTGGTTTTCGAACAATTCGTTCTCTTCGACCAATCCCAGACTAGGTAAATCAGAAATTATGGACTTTAGTGGTTTTGGATCGAAATTCGCGCAAAATTTAGAGTCTATGGACTTTTTGAGAACAGGCAAAGCTCACAGTCTGTACACGATAAGAGCAGTAAACTGCTTGATTAATAAATAATTTTGCTTGAGTTACAGACGATTTACGGACCGAATTCAAGTAATTTGTATTATGTATTAGAGGGCTGAAGAAGTTGTGTTGCCTAATAATATTCACTGGAGAACATTGGGCTGGATTAAGTGAATAGCAAGATGGATCATGCAAGTTTTTCTGTACAACATGGTAATTTCGTATTTTTTCTAATTAGCTCGTTTATTGCTTTCACTGTTTATAGTTATTGGTTTATTTATTCATAGCTGTTCAACACTAACTGGGAAACTCAGATCGTATATAAATGGTTATGTGTATACACCCTGTAATTTCTCTGTATTCGAGGTTAAGCGTTCGGAAACAAAGTCAACCCGATTGTTCAAGTATATAGCAATCGGAAACCCCCAATGGTCTTCTCTTGAATCCCATCGTATTCACTACATAATTATTACTGAATATTCACAAAGTGTTGAAGAACCTACGCAAGTTTATAAGGCCTTTTGCAGGTAGGCGGCCTGTTGGTCTTGGATGAAGACTACACATTCATAAATATAACGTATTTTTTTCAAAAAATGGACCATGCCAACTTATTAGAATTTGTTCTTAACGGATATTAGCTTTATTTATTCAACGTCCCTGATCATTAGCAACAAGAGTAAATAAGAATAATTCTCAGTTCTCCTGTCATGATTTGCAACCTTCACGTCAAAAGCCGTTCGTTCAATTTTACATATGCTTCTTTTTTAAAGCTCACGCGAATGATCAGCAACTGAAAGTGTAATTGTTGTTCACAACTACCCAACACCAACGGTGTTCCACGTCCCTTTTAGTTTTCACAAGTCGTCTTTTATTGGCAAAGTATTTTAGTGCGATCAATCGATCAATCGATTGCTCTTTTGTCCACGTGTATGCTCATTGGTGTGTACGTCTTTTCCTACCCTTAAATTGGAAACAGAACCATTTTGTGACAATATTATTTGTGACCACTTCAATTTAAACTGAGGAATTTACAGAAAAGCATCGATTTGCTGGACGAGAACGGTTGTCTGGTTTTTGCAAATTATTGTTGAGGTTCTTTCGCCAATGCAAAACGATGTGGGGAATGTATGCAACATTGGTGATTGGATATTTAACTTCATTGTCAGTAGGTGAAGAAAACGCTTAATAAAATTTTCACGTTAGGTTACATATATAGATTTTATTGACCTATTCAAAGTATTGATATAATTTTGAATACGAAATGAGAACAAATTTCACCGTTGACTGGTTCCATATTATTTGCTCATAGAACAAGTAATCTATATTGACAAACTTAACTGAAACAATAGACATTTCACAACGCGTTACCGACAGTTTCATAATTTGACGAGTTTTGCAACGATCATGATTAATTAATTAATTAATTTCTAAACAAACTCTAATAGATTCATCAAGTATACTTGTGAGTGTAATGTCAGATTCCCTAAAAAAAAGAAGCTTGAAGAAAATTACCGTTCTTGGTACCCCATCAGAATGATACTCAACAGGTGAAACAGTCTTATCCCGCTTCGATCACTTCTGAATTGTATCGATATTAACAATCCCGTTATGATCTCCAATAACGATCTGCTGCTATTCTTGGTTGTTTTTATGGTGCTCACAATGCAATATATATGCGGTGTTGTAAACAAAGAACTTTTAATTTATACGGGAACCATTAGCCAGAAATCTTTACTAAGTCCAATTATTCAACATGATGTGTAACGGCTTTAATAATGAAATTGACTTTATAAACCATGAAGCGTGCAGTTCCGTACAGATCTGTTACTAGTGATATCTTTATCTGAACATGATGAAGGTCAACTGGTTGGCTTTAACGTTTACCCAACTTTGGTTGCAAAAAAACCCAGAACAAATTGCTACTAAACGATTCTCATTCTATCATCGCAGTGAGAAAACAATGTCATAGGCTCGTTAATAAAAACAGCATCAATTTTCTGAATCAAACAGAATTTTAGTAGAAAATGACGACGAGGTTTCATTTACCAGTCTTCGTAATAATCACCTCCGAGTAGCACTAGAATGAAACCAAACTCAATAAAAATGGCCTTCAAAAGCGCAAAGAAGCGGAAGAATAAACACCAAATGGAAAAATGATGGAACTGTTCCGAGTAAAACTGTCAAATAATTGTTTAATTATGAAAATGAAAATTTCACCGGGAACAAACCAGTTTCTTATTTAACTAGCAAGTTTTGAGTGCAACATATGATATTATTCGTGATGAGACGCAATGGTTGGCTTATTATTTGCTGTGCATCATCATACTTCAAACTCATACCTACAATAAAGCATCCAATTATTGTTAAAATTTATTTTAAATAAATTAGTGGTAAGTTTTAAAAGGTTTTACAATCTTACTATGTAATTTTGCAACAATAAACCGGACTCTGAGCAGCTGAATTTGATATCAATAAGTGTGTTTCATCTATCTACTATGCACTTAGGTATAACTCTTTGGCAATAAAAACTGAGTAAAGCATAAAAATGTAAATCTCACCTTGAAAATGGTTAGTACACTTTTAACGCATCTCCCCTAGACAAATGGAACTTACTGCGAATTTCGCATAAGCGAGCGATTTGTCTGCTCTCGACATATTCCATCTCACCCACGTCACGAAATCGTCGACGAACTTCTTCTGAACAACCCAATGAAGGAACGTGAACTAGCACGTGACTGGATTTTTCAATGAATTCCCAGTTTCCCCCCAGCTCCTACAAAGGTGAAATGAAAACACTCAAAAACAAACTTTCTGAAGAATAAAGAAGGTAAACTTATAAAAAATAAAACCCGTAGTCTCAACTTGGACCCGAAGGAGTTGTACGGTATAAATGTGTAGTCATGCTGTACTACATGTTTCAGCTCCTATTAAAAAACCAACACAGAACTATTCTCATAAATTATGACAGGATTTCCCGTTACACCTGGCTTTAAACAACAGATTCTTAGTCTTATATTATCTTGCCTGTTTCTTGAAGCATGATTTTTCTGGCTACCAATTTTAGCATCTTTGAATAACTCAAGCTACTGTGTACGCGCAAGGTGAAAAACGTGGTCGTCGGATCAATCATAAGCTCACAATCGGTGAAAGGTTTGAATGTGATTCATTTAGAATAAACCCAGAAGGGAGCATCGCTGATCGGTCTTCCGAATTAACATTTAGTTTATTTCTTCGATGAATATTGTAAACAGTGGCAATCGAGGTTTCAAACCAAAAAGGTTTTCCCAATAGGGTAACAGAAATTATGACTAATTGTTCTTGAGTGGAGATTTGTGACTGATCGGCGCATAATATTCCTAGTAGTTTTAGCTGCTGTATATCAAACACAAATGAGTTTACTGCAATGAACCTTCATTCCTGACATAAATCTTGGATTTGTTAAAAACACAAATGGTGCTTGAATTGTTCAAAACAAGGAGATCTCAAGCACAAGCCCCTTTTTGAGATTTTAAGTCTTTATTGGAAATATATTGCAAACTATGGTCATTTTCTCATAATCAAAAACCAACTTCCTCCGGTCTAGCAAGGTTTATTTGTTTTCTAAATCTTCATGAAATGCCCGAAATTAATAAGCAAGCAAAATTAGACTTACTAAACTCTTAGGTACCCAAAAGACTGAGTAGACCTTTTCATTTAAGCAACATAAACCACTTACTTGTAGCTAAAAATTATCGAACTAGGTTTCGTTTGAAACATTCCGCCAATAGCACCAGTGGTAAGATTCTAATCAACCTAATACCAGTCTTGGTAATCCCAACAGGTAAAAAATACCTCTGAATCAACCAAAAATCCAAGAAGCATTTGAGAACAACAATGTTTAGAAACAACACTATGGCAATACCAGGTTATCTCATATTGACTCGGCCTAAACACGGTAATCAAAATGAAATAAATTCATTTATACTGATTAATACGGAATACGTGTCAATTTGAAATAAAACAACCCGAATTTGGAACGGGCTACAAGCTCCCACGTCTGATTTGTGTCTTAACAAGTTTAGCAGAAAGTGTAACGTGGATCTCCATTTCGCCGAGCTTGGGAATTTCTTTGCAAACGTCTCATCACCAGCCATGGTAACATCCTCTTCATTGTGAATATGATGCCGTTGAATGTGTTATTATTGAATTTGTATGATCTTCCTAGTTCCGACTTCTTCCGGTTGACGAATGTGTCATCAACATATCGGAGCCAAAGTTTTGGTATGATTCTTTGTAGTGCCTCTTTTTCCAGCTTCTGCATTACGGCTTCGGTTATGAATCCAGAAATTGCCGATCCCATTGGTGTTCTTTTGAACTGCTCGTAGACTTCACCCTCGAATTTGAAGTACATCTGCGTGAGTTCGCAAATGGCAGTTGGTTCCAATAGTTTATTCTGCAGGTTCTCGGTTATCAGTTTTCGCAACGTGGATCTTACCAGCTCCAAGTTGATCGAAGTGAACAAATCGGTGATGTAGAACGAGACTTAACAAACTTCCAAGCTCGGAGAACAGACAAAATGGAATTTAGTTTACCCGAGATAGGAGAACCTGTTTTCACCATTGACCGTGGAGCTTTTTATAATACTCTACACTAAACCAATACTAAGCAATTGTGACCGGTCTAAGACCATTTTATCCAAACCAGTTGCTATGGGATCAGAAAATAAGTTGCGGGTTGAACTGAACCTGATAAAGTACATTCTTTTAAAAATGATAGATGAACAAGGTCATTAGTTTGTTTGTTACTTCTGAAAAAAATAATGGAGAGCATTTGTCTTATATCATTCATTTATCCGAACTGTCAACGAAAGTAGCCGTTATCAGACTTATTGCGCATAATTTGGATGGGACATGTCGATCAACTTCAAGTCAACGAGTTATCAGTATCATATTGTCTGTTCAGTTTAACCCCATTCAGTTTCCAATCCTTCATCCTGAAGTATTATCCCATGACAACTGGCCATTTGTTTTATCAGTACCCTTTTGATCAACATCAGAATGTAGCTCAGACATTAAAGTTACCATCTGATCCGTTGTATTATATATGCGAATATAAGAAGTAGATATATGGTGAATATTTCTGGCAGTACACCTGTGTATTTATGCTTTAGAGGCAATATGCAGAGTGAAAAGTTATCCAGTATATGAACGTGGTCTATGTTACCAAAACGTCGCGCGCCCTTCGATAGGCTGCGCTACACCTGCATCTCTCCGTAACATTGTGGAATGTTCACTTTCACTCACATTCATGCGTCATCGTTACTCGCGGGATGATATTATTTGTTTCAAATGTGCCAGTACATGCTTCGATGGTTCAGAAGTTTGTGCGACTCCAGTTTCTCAATATCCAGGCTGGACCAAGGCACAAGTGTGCAGGATGTCAAGTTGCTGTTAATTGCACCCCTCTGTCAAAGATGACTGTCTCGTCATTGTTCAGAACTAACACTCGGTCCCTGTTTCCCAAAATTTCGGATTTAACAAGTGTCCTCCGATCAAGAATTCATGCGAACACGTGTGCTGTCTGTGTTCAATAATCCTGGTTGAATAAGGATGTAGATGACTCTTTAGTGTCAATAGACGCTTTTCATGTTTACCGGTAGGATCGTGGAACCGGAGAAGGTGTTGAAACAAATGTCAACTTTTTCTGGTGTGGCAAGTCCCATGTTATTTTCAGTACTGCTCAAAAGGTACTGAGTGCCAAACTATACAGTAACACCCTAGATTTTCCCGTTTTACTTACTTTTGACTAACTTGTATATAGCTCCTTACTGTACACAGTCCGATAGGATATGTCATTCTTTGACTCGTTCATGCCTTTTATTGCCCCACGTTTAGATGTTAACCGGCACATAATCGTTGGTGACTTCAACAATAACAGTACTCATCCATTTTTATCATTGGGTATGACAGATCTCTGGCACTCTTTTGCAAGAGGTAACACTATACTGGAGAGGGTAATTACCAACCACCCAACCTTTTTTTTCTTTAGCACTCAAAGCACCTATTTCCTCCACTGACCACTGCTCTTAGATCTAACTAAAGCTTATTCACACAGTGCATGCAAATCTCCCTCCTGATCTGAGCATATCAGATTTCGTTTTCGTAACGTCTCACCTACAAGTGTTTCTCTCCTGAAAGAATTTCTCAGACAGGCCTTTTTATGGTTTTTCCCTCTTCATATGTGTTCCCCTATTCACCCAAACAATCAATGCCATTTATAATTAGTGCTGCCCTGTTCAAAGCCTATATGTGTCCAGCGGAAGGATAAACTCTCCCCTACTAAAGTCTCTGCGTAGACAGAAGGAACGTGCATAAAAGTCTCACAATGCTTCAGCTGTCAGGTATTTGTCCAAGCTTATCAAAAGTGAAGTGATGGATTGAACGCATTATTCTCTGATCGAATTCTGAGGACTGGAAACAGCAAACATCTGTTGCTAGGCATAAGACTTCTCTGTGGAAGGAAGGAAGTACGGTCGAAGCTGGATGTGGACGCTGATGATCTCAATGCCGCATTCCTGTGCCAGTCATCGGACATTCTTCCTGCCTACTCGGCACAAAATGTTTGTAACGTGGAACCGTTCTCATATCGTGATGTGTTAAAACTTAAAAATGCTGCAATTTTTCTTCTGCTGCAGGCCCGGATGACTTACATCCAGCCCTCTTCAAATTTGGTGCTACTTCTCTAGCTGGGGTAATTACCTTCATTGTCAATGAATCTCCTAATTGTTCGACTATCGCTCACTGTTGGCGGCCGGTCACAATGACACCAGTTTGCAAGGCATCGAAATTTTCTATCCTCTCCAAACTTTTCCGTCTCATAGCATTGGCATTTTCAGCTATTAAATTGACTAAAAAGATCATCCTCAAACGCCTTCAGCAGTCTATAGACATACTCAGTGATCCGTTACAGTTTGCTTACAAGCCTAAAGGATCCACCTTGGACGCAGTCTCCACCGTCATTCATTTCGTTAATAAGTCTTTGAACAGCTCTGTTAAGTCTGTTTGGTGTGTTTTTCCAGACTACTCTTCTGCATTTGATTTCATTCCTAGATCTAAGTTGTTACAAAACGTGGAATCGTTTGAATACCCCAAGTAGTTGTAAGCTTAGTTATCTAACTATTTCACTGATAGAGTACAAACCACTAGATTGGGGAATGCAACAGCAAAACCCTTAGTCAACAATTCCGGGGTTCTTCAAGGAGCTGTGCCATCGCCATACATATCTTCTACTTATATTTTTGATATTCTCTGTGTTTCTCCCGCACTAATTTTGAAATACACAAATGACGTTGTGTTGTCCCAACCCATTTTTTCTTACTCTGATCTAAGCTATTTCACCAACAATCTTGATCAAATTCAGTCATTCTCCTCATCGGGGCTAACCCTGAAAGCCAGTAAATGTGATGAGTGTTTATATAGTTTTGCTCGCTCCCCATATCCGACAGACCCCAAAGTGATTAACAACAATCCTTTATCCAGGGTGAATTCTGTCAAATATCTTGGTGTAACCATAGATAGCAATCTTTATCGGTCAACCCACATCCATATCTGCATTGGTTAACTGCGGCGCCTATCATTTCAAATACGAAAGCTCAGGTAGTTATTTCTACCTTTGTTTATCAGTGTGTGTTCCCCATCTTACTTTACTGTTCCCCAGTCATTTTTCCTGGCTTACTCAAACAGGAATTTAAAACCTTACACTGCGTTCTAACCATTATTAGTCGTGTCTCTTCTA